CAGCAGGGACAGCCAGCACTGGGCACAGCTGCAGCAGGGACAGCCAGCACTGGGCACAGCTGCAGCAGGGACAGCCAGCACTGGGCACAGCTGCAGCAGGGACAGCCAGCACTGGGCCCAGGCCAGGCTGGAGCTCGCTGGGATGGATTCCTGCTCTGGGTGAGATCAGGAGCCCGCCGGTCCCAGCCAGAGCTGGAGCTCTGTTTGGAGCTCCCAGACACAGCTCAGCCTCTGAGGGAGGAGGGCAGGGGGGGTTTGAAGGGGTCTGAGCTGGTGCTTGAGGAGGTGATGGCTGCACTCCTGGCTCTCTGCACTCCAGGGACAATTCCCTGGGAAGGGAGCACAGCCTGACCCCACAGCCCCATCTCCACAACGTCCAAGGGCCATCCTGATGTGCTTTTGTGAAGCTTTTAGCTCTCCTTTCAAAGATATGCCCACGATCACTTCCTACAGCTTTGTGAACTCTGTGGTGGCCAAGAGCACCAAACCAAGGAGGGTTGGGTTTGGGGTTTTTTCACGCTATGTGTCATTAAAAATGCTGTTATCTAAATAAAAAAGTCATTCCTTTTTCTAGATGTCACGTTGTGGCAGAGACTGAAGCCCTACAGAGGATTCTTATGGCTGAGGAACTTTCTTGAGGAGGGGAACGTGACATCAGAGCACAGTAATCCATCAAGGGCTACAGCCAAGGTGCTCCTAACCAGGTCACTCCCCAGGATGTCCCTCAGTGCCTAAACATTCCTGAAACAAATCACAGCAGGGGTTAGGTGTATCTGAGAGAGTTGCCTGTGAAAGAGATGTGACAGGATTGCTAAGTGCCTTTATATTGGAATTTTAGCTCTAGGAAGGCAAGGCAAGGCACCACAAGCCAGGGATACAAATATGGATCTGGTTCTCTACCTCTTCTATATCCAACTAACTCCATGGGTACATAAAGTAGCAAAAGCAGGGTGCTTAGAAAAGTCAGGCTGGTTTTCAGAAAGCCAGTGCTTTACCAAAAAAAAAAAAAAAAAAAAAAAAAAA